TATATTTAGCTAACATGCATTGTTTCTATGCATGTCTATTGTATTTTGATTATTAAACATTTACATTCTTGCTTTGGATATTACTATGTGATTTCGAACTCATTCAATTTCATTGCTTTGCAAAAATTGGTGGTTAATATCATTCTATAAGATCTATTGGAGTTTTTGTACTCTAATGTAAGAGGCAATATTGGTGGGCTCCTTAAAGGTTACATATATGAATGGCAAGAAATTGTTGTGTCTTCAAAAACATATAGATAATATAGAGATGGTCACAAGGAAAAAATTGAATGGTTTTAATTATTATTCTTGCTAATAATCGCATGTCAATATGTCAAAATATATATTCAAACTAAATATATTTAACTTTTGCTTTCTCTTTTGTGTCTTTACTATTATTTTTTATATTTCAAACTTTGTTTCTTTAGGAAAAAAACTTAAGGATTTTGGTTTCAATTTAAGTTATTATTTTTAATTTACATTTTTCTCTTAAAATTTTCCTTTCATAATTATGTGCTCAAACATTAAACCAATAAAAATGAATATGTGTGTGCAGTAGCTTGCAGGGAGAATTGATAGGAGCATTCAAAGTGAAAATATACATGAATCATTTTAAATTTCAAACTCAATGTATCAAACCTTAAAAATTACAAGAAGCATGTCATTGTTGCACTAATTAAGTCATATTTAATACTTTATGAGTTAATTTTCTAAAGAATTTATTTATTAATTGTAAGTGTTTAGAATATAAATTTATATTTATAAGTTTAGTTATATTATGTATTATATTTATTTATTTTCCATTCTTCTTTATATTGTTCTTTATTTTAACATTCCCATGACTCAAAGTATATTTGGTATGACCGTTAAAATTTAGCAGATAGTGAGTAGTAGATAACGAGTAGTGGGTAGCGGATAGCGGATATGGGTAATAAATAGCAGTAGCAGGTAGTGGGTGGTGGTTAATAGATAATGGGTGGTGGATAGCAAAAAGTGAGTATCGGATGATACATAA